ACAGAAATCTCTCTAGAAAGGCTGGGGTGTGGGAGTTCCTCCTCTTCCCTTCTAGGTTCTTCCTTCCTCCTATGTCTTTTCTTCCTTTTCCTACTTCTCTTTCTCCTTCCCCTCCTCCAACCCTCTTCCTCTTCTCTTTCAGAATTTACCAGCAGCAACTCCATGCTAGACATCATGCCAGACATTGGGCTGCAAAGACGAGTCAGTATTCACCTCTGACGGTAGGAACTATGGTCTAGCTGGTGGAGACCCACATAGGAGGGCAAAGAACATTTCCATATTTGGGAGGACTGCATAGGGCACAAGTGGATTCAGAGGAGAGTGGTTAATTCTGTGCATTACAGGAGTGAGGACATGAGGAAGGGTTTCAGGAAAGTGCTGGTGCTTGAGCGAATCATCAGAAGTGTCCCTGTTTGAACTTGTGTTTTGTTTTTGTTTTTTTTTAATTTTATTTATTTACTCATGAGAGACACAGAGAGAGGCAGAGACATAGGCAGAAGGAGAAGCAGGCGCCCTGCGGGGATCCTGATGTGGGACTCGATCCCAGAACCCTGGGATCATGACCTGAACCAAAGGAAGATGCTCAACCACTGAGCGACCCAGGCATTTTAAGATTGAATTCATGTCAAATGACAGCCAAATGGTGAGAATAAAAGCACAGCAGCAAGCATTTACCAAGCACACCCTATGTGCTAAGCACTCTTCTGAACCCGTGTATTATCCCTTGTACCCCGACAGCAACTTTATGAAGATTATATTCTTAGTGCCCCTATTTTATTTTAATTTTAAATTTTAAAATTTTTAGAGTGGTTGAGAGAGGGAGAAAGAATCTTAAATAGGTGCCACACTCAGTGTGGAACCCAACATAGGGCTAGATCCCACAACTCTGAGATCATGACCTGAGGTGAAATCGAGAGTCTGATGCTCAACCAACTGAGCCACCAAGGAACCCCTTAGTGCCTCCGTTTCAGATGGTAGGATTGAGGCACAGGGAGCTGAATAACTTACCAAAGACTACGGGGCTAGTAAAATAAGGAGCCAAGGATGAACTCAGTCACTTTGACTTCGGAGTTGTGATCTCAACCCTTTAGAACATACTGCTTCAGGGACACCTGGGTGGCTCAGTGGTTGAGCATCTGCCTTCGGCTCAGGCCGTGATCCCGGGGTCCTGGGACTGAGTCCCACATCAGGTTCCCCCACAGGGAGCCTGCTTCTCCCTCTGCCTGTGTCTCTGCCTCTTTCTGTGTCTCTCATGAATAAATAAATCTTAAAAAAAAAGTTTAGAATATACTGCTTCTAACTGTATATACTGCTTGTGACCGTATATATTATAACTGAAAGGTTTTCAGGGTTTCAATAGAAGAAATAGGAACAGTTCAAACCACCACACATGCCCTCAAAAGCCCTGGGCCAGGACATCAGTCTTGTATTGACAGAGCAATCAGATGTTCTGGGTGGAGCTGATCACTGAGCACGCCAGCTTGGCAACAGTTCATTAGCTATAAGTGTAGTGGTAAATGTGCCATGAAGAAATTTTCTGTAACCAATTCCAGTAATAATTGGATTAGATACTTATTTAGTACAGATTTCAATAAAGCTGCAATGTTAACTTCACGTTCAAATGAACAAAACTGCTTTGCAGAGATCAAATGACAGCGTATTAAATTGGCATTGAAAATCGCCCGCTGGCAGAGTTTTGGTTAAGCATGGGGTCGGATTATCTTGAACTAGCAAACAAAGCTTTGAAATTATTAATGCCATTTTGTACAACATACTATGCAAATAGAGGTTTTCTGCCTCTCTATTATGGAAGTCAAATTAGAGGGCATTTTATTTTTTTTAAAGATTTTATTTATTTATTTGACAGAGTGAGCATAAGCAGGGGGAGTGGCAGGCAGGGAGAGAGGGAGAAGCAGGCTCCCTGCTGAGCAGAGAGCCCTGTGCAGGACTCGATCCCAGCACCCTGGGATCACGACCTGACCTGAAGGTAGATGTTCAAGCGACTGAGCCACCCAGGTGCCCTACAGAGCAGTTTAAATCAAGAGATGGACCGGAGGCTATAGGGTCTTATTTTTAAACACAACATATGTGAGGCAATTTAACAAAACATGATCTAGCATATTACATTGATAATGTTCATTTAGATATTATTGGTTTGTATTTTGGTTTGGACTTTCTGAGGAGTGTGTTTGCCTTGGTTTTATGGCGTGCATAAGCAGCATGAGGAATTTGCCTCTTTTAAGTTAATATTGCAAATACCAACTTCTGTTTCATCCTTCATCTAACGTTTTGGTTTGTCCAATTCTTGAAACTGAGATTTTGACCATTGGCTGAGACGATTTGTGGGCATCCAGTGCATGATTCTCTTGTTCTTTTGGAATGCTTTCTCTGTCCCTTGTGTTCTTTCTATTACCCCCCGAGCGGTAATGGCTCTCAGTTTCAGGTTGTGAGCACTTAGAAATGTGTGCAGGCTGTCGGCAACAGAGAATCCAACTCCAGCTACCAGGGAGTTTGCAAAGGCAAGTATTTGTAGTCGATGATACACCCCTAAACAAAACTGGGGTATTGCTGGCAAGGAAGAAACAGAGATTTGAATTGGGTAAGAAACTAGCAGAGTCTGTTGAAGTGAATGAGTCAAGGAAAGAAAAATCATTCCTACAATTCTCGATTCAATCCCTCTCTCCCACTGTCTTTCCTTGGTACCTTAAAAAACAGTGGTGAGCTGGTCAATATTTCACACGTGGCTCTCTGGAGGGACAAGTTTGATTTCTAATTTTTGCCAGTTTCTGTGGTGGAAATATTCCCATCATGATGGGTTTCAAGCTCCTGACCTGGTGTTACCCATTGTGCATGGTGCGTGAGAGAGGCACCCAATGTTACACCATCACAGAGCATTTCCACCAGACAGATACAGTAGGAGTTGGTCACCTCAAGATTATGGAAAACAGTACAATGTTGGACCACTCAGCTTGGGCTACCATAACAAACTATCACAGGCCAGGTGGCTTAGACAACAGACATGAATTTTCTAACAGCTCTGAAGGCTGGAAATCTTACCAAGGTATGGGCAAGATTGGGTACCTCTGAGATCTCTCTCCTAGCTTGCACACAGCGTTTCTTGTGCTGCCTCTTCACATGACTGTCCTGTCTTTCTGTGCATGTATGCATCTCTTGTGTCTCTTTGTGTGTCCAAATGTCTTCTTCTTACTAGGACCACCAGTCAGATTGGGTTAGGGCCCATAGTAATGGCCTCATGTTAACTTTATCTCATCTTTAAAGGCCCTATCTCCAAATACTGTCACATTCGGAAGTGGTGGGAGGTAGGACTTCAACACAAGAGTGATAAGGGGAAGACACAGTTCAGTCCATAACAAATGTAGTAAAATAACTAGGAAGTGATGAACTGTGAATATTTCATTTTTAATCTCATTTAGTGAATCATAAATTCATAGAATTTAAGTTTAAATAACACCGGTGTTTAGCAGCCAAATTGAAACTTCTCTGAAGAGAAGATATTTGCAAATGACATATCAGATAAAGGGCTAATATTCAAGATCTGTAAAGAACTTATTAAACTCAACAGCAAAGAAACAAACAATCCAATCATGAAATGGGCAAAAGACACGAACAGAAATTTCACCAAAGAAGACCTACATATGGCCAACAAGCACATGAGAAAATGCTCTGCATCACTTGCCATCAGGGAAATACAAATCAAAACCACAATGAGATACCACCTCACACCAGTGAGAATGGGGAAAGTTAACAAGGCAGGAAACAACAAATGTTGGAGAGGATGCGGAGAAAGGGGAACGCTCTTGCACCTATTGGTGGGAATGTGAACTGGTGCAGCCACTCTGGAAAACTGTGTGGAGGTTCCTCAAAGAGTTAAAAATAGAGCTGTCCTACGACCCAGCAATTGCACTGCTGGGGATTTACCCCAAAATATAGATGCAATGAAACGCCGGGACACCTGCACCCCGATGTTTCTAGCAGCCATGTCCACAATACCCAAACTGTGGAAGGAGCCTCGGTGCCCATCGAAAGATGAATGCATAAAGAAGATGTGGTTTATGTATACAATGGAATATTCCTCAGCCATTAGAAATGACAAATACCCACCATTTGCTTCAACGTGGATGGAACTGGAGGGTATTATACTGAGTGAAGTAAGTCAATCGGAGAAGGACAAACATTATATGGTCTCATTCATTCAGGGAATATAAAAAATAGTGAAAGGGAATAAAGGGGAAAGGAGAGAAAATGAGTGGGAAATATCAGAGAGGGTGACAGCACATGAGAGACTCCTAACTCTGGGAAACAAACAGGGATAGTGGAAGAGGAGGTGGGTGGGGGATGGGGTGACTGGGTGACGGACACTTGAGGGGGGCACTTGACGGGATGAGTACTGGGTGTTACACTATATGTTGGCAAATCGAACTCCAATAAAAAAATATACAAGAAAAAAAAAAGAAAGAAACTTCCCTGAAGATTTAAAAATCAGCTCTCATGAGCTGGTGTGAACTGTTTTAAAATAAAACAAAATCTTAAGCAAACCCCCCTACCCAACGAGAAAAAGATAAATCATGATGTGCCACGGTGTCAATTTTCTTAAGGATCTTTTCCTGGCAGATATCTCATTATTGCGAGGGGACAAAATAGTTCCCAAGATCATTTGAGCTCTAATAGTCTTTTGTTTTATAGAAGATCTTAATAGTAACCAGATATCTCATGATGCTTTCCAATTAAAAAAAAATCTTACCTTATTCCACACTGTACTTTAGAAGTCTTTGTTGAGTACATGCTATGAACTGAGTATTTGTGTCCCTCCCAAACTCATATGTTGAAATCTTAATCCCCAGTGTGATGGTATCTGGAGGTAATTAGGTTTAATGAGAACAGGAGGGTGGAGCCTGGTGAATAGGATTAGTGCCTTTATAAGAAGAGACCTGGGACAGCTTGCTTCCTCTCTCTCTCTCTCCACCCCTCCCAGCCCCCCCTCCCGTCCGTCTGTCTGTCTGTCTGTCTCTCTCTCTCTCTCTCTCTCTCTCTCTCTCGACTTGGCCGTGGGAGGTTACTACAGTCGGAAGGTGGCCATCTGCAAGTAGGAAGAAGGCCCTCAAAAGAGCCCTGATCTCGGACTTCCCAGCCTCCAAGAACTGTGAGAAATAAATTTCTGTTGTTCAAACTGCTCAGGCCCTGGCATTCTGTTATAGCAGCCCGAGTGCACTAAGACGGTACCTTCTAGGTGTGAGGCACTGTGCTAGCAAATGGGACACAGAGAAGACTACAGAGACATGACCCCTCCCCTGATGGTGCCTACATCTAGAGGGGGAGCAAGATCTAGAGCGACTAGTCATTTAAGTAACTAATTATAGTAGCTGTAACTGCTAGTAGGAACATGTATAGGGCACTGTGGGAGCATTTGTCATAGGAGGAACTAACCTCACCTAGGAGATCACAGAAGACTTATCTTGGGAAGTGACATTTAACCTGTGTTATAGGCTGAATTCTCTACTCTCCCCCCTCCCCGCCCTAATTCAGGTACTGAAAACTTAATCCCCAGGACCTCAGAATGTGACTGGGTTTGGAGATAAGATCTTTAAAGAGGTGAGTACGTTAAAATGAGTCTGAAGCGTGAGTCCTAATCCAACCTGACTAGTGTCCTTATAGGAAGAGGAAATTTGACCACAGAAAGACACCGGGGATGCAGGGATGTGCATACAGAGGACTCAGCGAGGAGGCAGTTATCTAGAAAACAGAGGCCTCAGGAGAAATTAGACCTGCAACACCTTGATTTTGGACTTTCAGCCCTCAGAACTGTGAGAACATAAACTTCGGTTGCTTAATCCACTTGGTCTGTGATATTTTGTTATGGTAGCCCCAGCAGGAGGGACTGGTGAGATGAGGGGAGGCAGGAGGGCTCTCCAACCAGAGGAGGGAACATGTGGCTGGATCCTTAAGGCAATAGATAAAAGGCCCATAATCTAATCCAGAAGAGTGGTTAAAAGTATGGGCCCTAGAGCCAAAGGGCTGAATTCAGCCCTGGAAAAGGTACATGACTTGGAATCTCTTTTCTCACCTGTATGGTGCAGCTAATGCTAGATTTTCCCTGCAGCATTTTTGGGGAGAAGGTTAAGGGACTTAGCTGTGAAGCAGTTAGCTCAGTGCCTGGCACACACTACTGGAAATGCTCAAAAATGTGAGATGTCACTTATTATCTGAGAATAGCTCACCATTCTCAAAGTGTAGTTGGAATGTTACTTACAGTGGCAAGTCTTTACTGGTTCCACTCCAACCTGAGTAAAATCATTTTCTCTCTCTTATGGGGAAGGAAGACCATCTGTTTCTAAAATCTGGATTCTCCATTTTATGTTCCTGAGGGTTTGGATTTTGTCCTAATGTCTTTTGCTATAGGCCACAGAAACTGATCACTTGGGAAAAAAAGAAGTAAAATTAGGCCTTTGGGCATGAAGACTGACCGGGGTGTGGGTAGAACCCATGATGGTTTGGGGAACAGTACCAGGAGAGGGGACGCTAGCTCTGACAGGTGTTTGGACCTCTATCACCAAGGTCTCATGGCCTGAGAAGTTCCAGGGGCCAGGAGAAGAGCCACTTTGAGGGCACCATTAAGTGCCATGAAAACTGGGGCACTTTGAGAGGACACCACCTTACAACACCAGGAGATTTGTAAGCTCCTCGGTGACTGGAGATTCAGCAGGATGGTGGTGATGGAGAGAAGCACTTGCACCCCCACTTCTGAGCCAGGCTGGAGTACTTTATGTGCACCCCAAATTAGAGACTTCAGGGACAGGACAGCGTATTTGCCACTAACGACACCATTATCTCTAAACTCCCTCACTGGACCCAGTCCTTACAGACAACAATTATATATTTCTCTCTGCATCCTCCACACTTAGATTCGTGCTGAACACCTGTATTTGCTGAATGAAAGTTGTATTTATAAATTAGGCACTTGGGGTGGGTTGAGTGATTGAGGTACTCGCTTAAGGTCATCCATCTTGTAATGGACCTGTATCTAAAAGCCGAAATGTCCCTTGGTTGAGGTTTGCTCTTGCCAACCACAATAAGGGCAAGGGATGTGTCTTTTATTTTTTTTAAGATTATTTATTTATTTATTCATGAGAGACACACAGAGAGAGCCAGAGACACAGGCAGAGGGAGAAGCAGGCTCCCTGTGGGGGGCCTGATGCGGGACTCAATCCCAGGACCCCGGAACACGTCCTGAGCTGAAGGCAGATGCTCAACCCCTGAGCCACCCAGATGCCCCAAGAGATGTGTCTTATGCTTTCCCGTGGTGCCTGGTACCATGGTTAGCCCACAGTCAAGCACAGGAAGAACCCGAGAAGCAGCAGTGCTGTCTAGAAGGTTGGTCAGTGGGATGATTGATGGAGCCGTTTGTGTGGAGGCCAGAACAGATAAGCATTCTCATCCAATCCCGGCTCTAGGGAAGCACCACAGCCATTCATATTCATTTAGTCCAAAGACATTTAGGAATGGGGATGTCACACATCAGCGTTTTTTCCCCTCTACATTTATGCTCTGCAAGCTAGTGATCAAAGCATGGACTTTTAGTCATTCATTCAGCTTATATTTATCAAGCAGTGTTCCGAATATTCACTGTCTGGCTGTGCAAGGGCCCACTGGTCTACCTCTGCATTTCAGTTTACACACATATAAACGGAGGACAATAACACCTATTGCATAAAAGTTGCCATTAAGTTCAAGGAGGCGAACACATAAATGCTGGGCATGGGGCAGCCCTGGTGGCTTAGTGATTTGGCGCTGCCGTCGGCCTGGGGTGTGATCCTGGAGACCTGGGATCGAGTCCCACGTCGGGCTCCCAGTGCATGGAGCCTGCTTCTCCCTCTGCCTGTGTCTCTGCCTCTCTCTGTGTGTGTCTCTCATGAATAAATAAATAAAATCTTAAAAAAAAATCTGGGCATATGTTCATGTCACCTAGCCCTCCCACCAGGGCCAGTGACAGCTGCTTATTTCCCTTTTCTTTTGTTGTGCTGGGGAGCCAATGGGAGCTTTTGAAATGTGGTGGATTGGCTTCTTGTGCCCTGACTTGATTCATTCATTACAGTAAAACAGGAGGAGCAAGACTTCCTTGGGCCTCTCCTGTGCCTGGCACGTTAATAATGCACAATAAATATACATTCACTCAATCAATCATTCTGGCCTGTGGAATGAGTGTGATGTTTTGATTATGCAGGAAGTTGAGTTTCGTTATACAACTTTCCTTGTTCTGGCCGTGGTTTCTTCCTATACATGAAGAAAAGAAAGTTCCCAGTAAAATAAGATTATGCTGTTTCAACATAAATTCTTTATCAGGATTAGGTTCATATGCATAAGGTAGAAACACATCCTCCTTTCACACATCCTTCCTTTCCCAATTTAGCCTTAGATAAGATAAAACCCCATTTCTTTTTCATGTAAAAGGCTAGAATTAGGCATTCCAGGACTTGTGTGACAGTTCCACCAAGTCCTCAAAGACCCATGTCCCTTCCAGCTCCACCCCTATGATGGTCTCCTGGTCCACGGTGATGGCTAATGTTTCTGCAGACACCACATGTCTGTTCCACGGAGCAAGATGGAAGAATGGGGAGAAGAAAAGAGCATTCTCTCCCTTTAAAAAAGACTTTCCTAAGTCCCACACAGCACTTCTAGCTCTTCAGTGAGAAATTAGGCACATGGCCAGACCTCTGCAAGCGAGACTGGAAAATGAAGTCTTTCAGCTGGGCAGTGATGTGCTCAGCTGAAAACTGGAATTCTAACGCAAAGGAAGAAAACAAGGCTGAGGTCTAAGACAGGCAAATTGCAATCTCTCTCACCTCTTCCCTTCTGGAGAAGACACATAGCTGTTTCTCCCTTCTGTGTTTCTGCCACCCCACGCACAGGCTGTCATTAATGTCTTGACATCTTACATTGAGGGAAACAGATGTGGTGATGCTGAGATTTTTCATCCTACGCCAGAAGGAAAGAAGAAATGATAGCATTCTTCTACGTGCACACTCACGCTCCTTTTCTCGCGTGTGGTTTCATCCTCTCTCTGTCTCTTTCTCTGTCTCTCTCTTTCTCTGTGTCTTTCCCCACCTAAGCGCACAGAACTCAGGTTAAAACTGACCTCTGGACTGCAAATGATTGTTATCCTGAAGGTGATCACTGGGCTTTGTGCACTTGGTCTGGGGAGATCCATGGCCAGCTGTGGGCCAGAGCGCTTCCTCTGGTTCATGGTTCAGGAGGAGCAGCTCTAAGAGCGGGAAACCACTCCACTTGCTAGTGTCTCCCAGGTGAAGAGTGGGGTTCTGTTGGGATTTGGACCTCTAGTCTTTCATTTAGTGTTTACAGAGAGTACTCTTCTCCTGAGATACTTCTGTTCTCTCATTTTGAACATAGAATAGTGTCTGCCTCTTACCTTTCCCATAATAAAATGGAGATTAATAATAAACAACTAGGTGTAGCAAATTCTGGGTAAAAACATTTTGGAAGACACCCATTATCTACGAATCTAACATTGGCTCTGGCAGCAGTGAAGTCTGAATTTAAGATGGTGGTTGAAAAAAAAAAATAAGATGGTGGTTGAAGTGAGGTTGGGAAGTGTTGGGATCAGAAGGCTGGGCTCAGCCCGAGTGTAGCCATTGGATTCTGGGTGAACTTGGGTAGTGTCTTCATCCTTAAAACGTCAGTAAGAATGCCTGCTTAAAAAAAAAAGAAAGAGGGATCCCTGGGTGGCGCAGCGGTTTGGCGCCTGCCTTTGGCCCAGGGCGGGATCCTGGAGACCCGGGATCAAATCCCACATCGGGCTCCCGGTGCGTGGAGCCTGCTTCTCCCTCTGCCTGTGTCTCTGTGTGTGTCTCTCTCTCTGTGACTATCATAAATAAATAAAAAAAATTAAAAAATGCTTAAAAAAATATTTAAAAAAAAAAAAAAGAAAGAAAGAAAAAAAAGAGAGAGAATGTCTGCTTCACAGCTCCACTTTCCATTAGATAACATACCTCCCAACACTGGCCTGCCAAAGGGCAAGGATTCACTAGTTTGTTTCCTTTTCCCTGAGGGGAGGAATAGAGAATAAAGGATCAAGAATGGAGAGGAGAGGAGTTGAAGTGGAAGTTGCTTTAAGTAGGTTCTTACTAACCCAGGAGGTTGAGGTCCATGGCTGCTCTGGAAGCCCATTCCACTTTGTTTCATTCTACTTTAAGATGAACTCTGTTTGGCAGATGTAGCTTACTCATAGGACATATTGAAGAATTATTTTTTAAGCTGCCAAACGCTAAATATTTTTTCCAAGGTTAGAAATAATACTGGAGCTTTATATTATATTATTTTTTTAAATTATTTTATTTATTTATTCTTGAGAGACACACAAAGAGAGGCAGAGACATAGGCAGAGGGGGAAGCAGGTTCCATGCAGGGGATCCTGATGTGGGACTCGATCCCAGGACCCCAGGATCACTCCCTGAGCTGAAGGCAGACGCTCAACCACTGAGCTACCCAGGTGCCCCAATACTGAAGCTTAAAAAAAAAAAAAAAGACTTGGAACCTTGGGGCACCTGGGTGGCTCAGTTGGTTGTATTTGCCTTTGCCAGATCAGGTCATGATCTCAGGCCCCTGGGATGGAGACCTGCATTGGGCTCCCTGCTCAGCAGGCAGTCTGCTTCTCCCTCTCCCCGTCCTCCACTCAGTTAAATAAATAAAGTCTTTAAAAACAACAACAACCTGGAACCTTAATAATAGGATTTTACTTTCCAAAAAGGAAACAAAGGTAAAGAACTTGAGTGACTACATTACCCAGCCAATCAGTGTTTCCCTTCCCTCTTATCCCACCCTCTCCTCCCACCCCCAAGGACAGTGGGGACCAGAGTTTGAAAGTACTTGGATTACAGAGGTGAGCTCAGTGAATCCCCTCCCTGCCCACTGTGGGGGTTCTCTGGCTGCTACTGGGCTCCTCTTTGAGGAACAGGCTGTGCTGTCTGTCCCGACCCCCCTGTGGCAGGGGGGCCCTGACTGCTGTCTTACACACAAGTGGGGGTGTGGAAAAGGGGCAGCAAAATGAAGAATTCAAATGACTCAGAGCAGAAGCATTATGCTACTGGGCCTGCAGACTGGGCTGGGGGAGAACCAGGGAGCAACACTCTCCTTTTTTTTTTTTTTAAGATTTTATTTGTTTATTCATGAGAGAAACACACACACACACACACAGAGAGAGAGAGAGAGAGAGAGAGAGAAAGAGAGAGGCAGAGACACAGGCAGAGGGAGAAGGAGTCTCCATGCAGGGAGTCTGATGTGGGACTCGATCCTAGGACTCCAGGATCACACCCTGGGCGGAAGGCAGGTGCTCAACCGCTGAGCCACCAGGGCTGCAGCATCACTCTCCTATAGATGCTCTCTTCTGTAGTCTTGAGTTTTTGTCGGAAGATGCAGGTATTAAAGCTCAACTGAATTGTGGGTTTTATTTATTTATGTATTAAAGATTTTGTGCATTTATTTGAAAGAGAGAGAGAGAGAGGGAGCGCACAAGCAGGAGGAGCGGCAGGGGCAGAGGGAGAGGGAGAAGCAGACTCCCCGCTGAGCAGGGAGCCCAATGCAGGACTCGATCCCAGGACCCCGGAATCACGACCTGACCTGAGCCAAAGGCAGACCCTTCACTGACTGAGCCACCCAGGCACCTCGAGTTGTGGGTTTTAAACAAGAGACTGTGAAAGTGCCAATGCAGGGTTAATTGCCTAGAGCAGGTTCACCCGGCCTCCAACCCCCAAACTCAGCCCCGGATTCTCTATGCAGTCCCTCAGCAAACACTATGAAAAGTCTACAAGGTGCTTGGTATGTTTATATATATATTATTTTATCTACTCCCCAGGGTTTTTTTTTTTTCTCCCCAGGGTTTTTGATTAGGGTGAGGTGGTGAGGTGCTTGCCTCTAGTGCAAAATTTAAAAGGATGCCAAAAACCCCCACCCAACTCGGTGATTAAGAGAAATAAGATTTCAATGCAATATTTAAAAAATAAAAATTATTGCAAAAATAATCAATGATGAGAGAAACATCAAGATTTTAAATATAGTATATCCAGGTTTGTGATTTCTTTCTTTGGCTCAGCTCCTAAATGGCTTGTCACGGTGCTGCCCATCCTTTTATTTATATTCTTGAGGTGGGGCCATTTCATAGATTGGGGCTCAGAACAGCTGCATAAACTTAACTCTGGTGGATGGTAGGGAGGGAACTCGAACCTGGGACTCCGTTGTCTGTATTCTTTTCCTAAGACTGTAGCCACCTGCCTGTTTTGGAGGAATGATGTCTGCCTCCTTCAAAGGATTTGTTAGAATGTGTTCCAGGCAGCTGGCACCCTTAGCCTCTGAAATAACTGCTTTTCAGAGGTGCCAGAAGGAGATAATTTGTGCAGCGCCCTGAGGGATAAACCACACTGTAAACCTAAAATCATCTTGTTGGGGGAGGGGGTGGAGTGAGCAAAACATTTACTTCAGTGTGGATGACAAACATGCTGAGCAAGAATTAGCCTAACTCTGAGTTAGTTCTTAAAGCCATGTAATCCTTCCTTTTAACCTCTCCCTGGTACAATGGTTTTCTCAGACCCAAAGCCCCCCCATGGAATCGGTTAAAGGGAAAACAAGCTTCGAAATCCCAAATCCTTTTGAAAGTAAAGGGTAGGTAATGGTGTTTACAGACTCAGCTGAGGCTTTCTCGTGCTGTGTTTTTTATTGCATAGGTGCCCCTGGGCATCCTGGGTTTGTCTCCAGCACAGCAGGTTGACCAGGAGGAGAAGGGGTGGCCAGGGCATGGGCGGCTGGAAGGCATTCGGATTGTGGTGTTTGCCTGGGTGCCTGGTGTGGAGCTGGGCTGGGGTCTGGGCTGGGCTCCGGGTCGGCCACGCTTGCCTTCCGTCTCCAATGCTGCACACACACTGCCACCTACGGAGCTTGGGAGGCAAGTCAGCCTCATCGCCGGGCCCTTTCCTGCCACCGAGGCTGGCCTGGCCTGGGTGGAGGAGCAATCCCGCCCTCCCTACATTCCCATAACAGAAGCTTAACCTTCCCTGGGGCCACTGAAGACCTTCTAAAGAGCACTTTTCATTTTACACCCCCCACCCTCCCATCTAGGTAAGCCTGGGCCCTTCCCAGAGAGAGGCCCTGTCCTTTCTTTGCTGGTAGGACTCCTTCCCCAAATGTATCTTTAGGGCCCAATGAGTTCACCCTGTTGCACCAAGCTACAGTCCTCTTTGCTCCCCCAGCGATCATCATAATGAAAAAATTGATTGTATTTATTGAACATCCCTGGGTACTAGGTTCGGGACTATGTGTTTTACATAGATCCTTTTATTTAACATTCTCCCAACCCTAAAAACTAGGTACTAGAATTGTCTATGCTATAGATGATGGAACAGGCTTAGGAACATTATGTAAACTTATCTAAGGTCATTTAGTTAGCAAGCAGTGGTGCCAGGTTTTAAATCTGAGCAGATTTTAAATCCAAGGCCCACATCCTTACTCCCTTAAATTAGATCCCCCAGGAGACTCTGAAAGGACCACATTTAGTCATCAAGTATGGAGCACCGACCCAGGGGCCACTTAGGGCTTGCAAATATTTTATCTTGTTTAATTCTTACCGTTCCATAAAGTACATACAGATGACAAAACTATTCTTCAAATAAAGAAACCATGCTCAAAGAAATTCAGTCCTTTTTTGTTGGCCATTGTGTCTGGACATAAGGCCTGGAGTAAGGTGGGGCAGAAAGCTGAAAAGAACTCGGGTTATTCTCAGCCAGCCACCTGGAGCTGCTCTACTCCAGCTACTTCTGGATTCTTTGTCATGAAAAGTGACAGATATATTCTTAGGATTTGAATGAAAGTTTCTGTTATTTGTGGGTGAAAGCAAATCAACTGATGTAACTAGATTCAAACACAGATCTATCAGACCCAAGAGCTACTGGATGTGTTTTCTACGTTACTTACCTGCCTTGTATTATAAAATTATTAAAAAGTTGCAGGTTCCTCAGGGATAAGAGGACTTTTACATTTTTACATGTGGTAGAAAGAATCAGGAGACCTAGAGTTTCATCCTGACTCTTCCTTAGGTTGCTTGCTGACTCACCGGGGAAATAAGACACAAATAAATGAAATGCTAAGAAAGGTGGAATACTAAAATGGAAAGGTCAAGTCAATGAAGGCTTTCTTGGAAGTCTTAGAGGGGCCTCTGGGTGGCTCAGTCAGTTAAACGTCTGCCTTGGGCTCACAGCATGATCCCGGGGTCATGGGATTGAGTCCAGCATCGAGTTCTGCATTGGGCTCCCTGCTCAGTGGGGAGTCTGTTTCTCCTTCTCCCTTTGCCTCTCCCCCCAACACTCTCTCTTTCAAATAAATAAATAAAATCTTAAAGAAATATATAAAAGAAAATCTTAGAAAGCAGGAATTAAGCTGGCTGAAGGGTATTCTACAAAGGTAAAAGATCTAGGTATGACAAAGAAATGGCCTATCCTTAGTGACAGAAACATATTTTCTAAACTCCGTGCAGGTTGTTCATTCTTCTTATATCCAGTCCCATCTGGAGCCCAACGAAATGAATGTCACTCAGCAACACAGAAGGGCAACTGGACCACAACCAACTATGTTTTGGGAATGATTTACAAAATAAATATGCTCTTGTATAATACCCTGTTACCGTGTGTGTTATCAATTTTCAAGGAAATAAGATTCGTTAAAGTTTGGCTCATGTCATAACCATATAGAACAGAGGGGTCATCCTTTGTTGGCTGAGCAAGATTTGTTCCTTATGAACCATGCAGAGTCACAGGGTGGCTGGGATCCTCACTGCAGGGTACGATTGGAAAATAATGGTTGCAGGTTGATGGAGTGCTAAACACAGCAGCTTCGACCTAATAATAATCGCCGGGAACACATTTTAATAGCTTGCTAATAAGCCAGTATTCATTCCCTCTGCACGCCTCTAAGTGAGTGGTTTTGATCGACTTACTTCTGGGACCATAGGCTCTGAATAACTGGTGGGCTGGACCTAATCTACTACGTAGAAAGGTGCTTGAGAGCCGTATTTCATGACAAACTCCCATCTTTTAGATAACTCAAATCACTGCCTTGTGCTTGCCTTCATTTATCTATTTACAGAATTCATATAAACTATATTTCCCTGCTTCCCAGAGAGTGTCGAGTCTGTAAAATAGCTTGAGATATGGGCATCATGTGGATATATGGATTTTCCTGTACTGTTTGTTTTCTTTGGATGGCCAGGCCATTCCGAAAAAAATTGCTTCAGTCAATTCCTTTTTTTTTTTTTTAAAGATTTTTATTTATTCATTCATGAGAGACACACACACACACACACAGAGGCAGAGACACAGGCAGAGGGAGAAGCAGGCTCCATGCAGGGAGCCCGATGTGGAACTCCATCCTGGGACTCCAGGATCACGCCCTGGGCCGAAAGCAGGCGCTGAACCCCTGAGCCACTGTTTCAGTCAATTCCTAACCATTGACTGGCAAATGAATAGTCATGATGGTCTCATCTGGGACTTTTAGGCTTACCAAATAAACAGAAATCCAGTATCTCACAGAAGTGTGGTCTCCAGGTGGTCTTTCAAGTCACTTGAGAGGGGGCGGGGGCTACATGATTTAAAATACATATGTCTAGGCCTTATGCCAAACCCTCGAATCAGTATGTGGGTTTAGGGGGTCAGGATCTAGGAGTCTGCCTTTAACAAGCTCCTCTGATACATCTTGTATATATTGAAGTCTAAGAGTCACTGGTTTAGTCCTTGGAAAATACAGGTGTGCGAAACCTGAAGGGTAATCCATGTATCGCTGGACATTATCATAGGATGTTGTAGTGGGAGGCTCCTTTACCTCTTTCTGTATGCGGTTCTTAAATCTGAGTATAGAGGCCGCTGAATGAGCCTGGGGTTCTATGCCATCTGAGAACCTCAGCAGTGGGCAAGGGCAGATGCACCACTGATCCCCATAGCTTGCCCTCATCCTGCAAAATCTGGTTTGGCCATCGTGGCCTCTGGGGGCCTTGCCCTGCCTTTGTTGCTCTTACATGTGGTGTAATTTTTTTGTTGGTTATTTTAAAAGTTATTTTTAGTTATGCTAAAATACACATAAAGTTTATCATCTTAGTGGTCTTTTTAAAAAGGTTTTATTTATTTATTTGAGAGGGAGAGAGAGAGAGAGAGAGAGAGAGAGAGAGAGAACAAGCAGGGGGAGGGGCAGAGCAGAGGGAGAAGCAGGCTCCTGCTGAGCAAGGGGGAGGGGCGCTCAATTCCAAGACCCTGGGATCATGACCTGAGCAGAAGGCAGACCCTTAACCAATTAAGCCACCCAGCTGCCTCCATCTTAGCCACTTTTAAGTGTACAATTCAGTGGCATTAAGTACATTCACATTGTTGTACAACCATCACCACCAATATCTCCAGAACTTTTTCATTGTCCCAAACTGACTCTGTCCTCATTAAACACTGTCTATTCCCTCGTTACCCCAGGTGCCCGGTAACTTCCATTCTGTTACCTGTCTCTACAAATCTATTACTCTAAGTGCCTCACATGAGTGGAATCATGCAGTATTTGTCCCGTTGTGACTGGCTGATTCCACTTAGCATCACGTCTTCAACGTTCATTCAAGTTGAACAAGTGTCAGAATCTCCTTCCTTTTTTTTTCTTTTTTAATTTCCTTCCTTTTTAAGGCCAAATAATATTCTATTATATGGCGAGATTGCATTTTCTTTATCCTTTTATTCTTTGATGGACACTTGGGTTGCTTCCACCTTTTGGCAATGGTGAAGAATGCTGCTACGAACACGCGTGTACAGATACCTTTTTGAGACACAGCTTTCCATTCTCCTGACTACACACCCTGAAGGGCAATTACTGGATTGAATGGCAATTCTATTATTAACTTTTTAGGAACTGCAGCCATAGCATTTTCAATAGTAGCTCTCTGGTGTGATTTTACATTGATTTGTGTGATGATTTGATTGTCTGTCCACCCACCATGAAAGCAGAGATCCTGTTTATTTTTACTGCCTCGCCTCCCATATCTCAGTATCTTGAACAACAATGTCTGGGACAGAGTCATCACCGAAATATCTGATGAATTAATGAACGAGTCAGCCTGATGGGAACAGGACATTGGAGAGAGACTCAGTCTCTGTGCTTAATGAGTTTACAAATTAGTCGGTGAGACGTGACCCACACAAGGCAGTAAGCAAATAAAGGAAGGATATAATTATGTACTTCCCACCACCAGTGCACAAGAGGCGGAAACAGTCTTCACTTGTGATTCTTTCTTGGGGGCCAACACTGGAGGGCTGGGTGCAGGGTTAGCTAAGGAGTCTGGAGACATCAGCCCGGGGAGAGCAGTACGCAATGTGGATTAGGAGGGCACAGGAGGTCCAGAGTAAGCTGGTCTATAGGTCACTGAAATGGGGGATCCAGGAGGCAGCCGCCACTTGACAATTAAGTGGGTGGGTGGTGCGGGGGGGGATCTAACATGTCTCCCTCTTGGAGGCACAGTAAGAGTCCACGCCTGGGCTGAGGGCCTGGCAAAAGCAAAGCATGGCCCAGTCTAATAGGGCTGGGAGCTCAGGCAGGAACTGGGGGTGGGGGTGGGGAGCACGGCTTGATGCTAAGAACTCAGATATAAGATGTATAAGATGAACACTAGTTTTAAAATTGTGAGTTGAGCCTTCTTTAGCCATAAACACCATAAATCCCGCAATTGGAAGGATTCTTCATGCTAAGGGGCTATAGCTCTAAAGCCTTATTTTATTTTATTTTATTTTATTATTTATTTTATTTTTGCCCATTATGCTCAGAGCAGCACAGGGCTGAGTTTGCAAGGAGGAATAGTAGCCAGCCCACTGTGGGGAAGTGGGTGGAGGCAGAGAAAGAGGAACTGGTAATAGGAGGGGCATAAAAGGGGGAGCGGGATGGTAGACAGGTGCTTGGGGAGCACTATGGAAAGGTGGCCTGCCCGGCTAAGATGGCAGGGGCAGGCTATAACGGGAGCCAAGGCTAGAGCCAGGCTGGTGTTGAGATAGGGTGGGGAGAACCTGGGAGTCAAGTGGAGGCATGCTCCTATTTCACTTGCCTTCTTGAGTGAGGAGGAAAAGAATCATTGCCTTAATATTTAAGCTTGGAATTCCTAGGGGAGAAAACAGTCTATTTAACCTTGATGGACTGACCTGGTCATGAAAAGATAGAACCCAGAGCCTCTGTGGCCAGGGCCAGGTATGAATCAGAGTCAGTTCATCGGCTCTGCCAAAGAAATGAACAGAAATGCTTGGTTTGAGGAGTGAGAAAGCTCTGAAAGAGCTCTGAGTGAAAGGGATCTTGCAGCTGGGGCTTTCCAGGAAGCAGGTGCTCAGATACGGAGTTCAGGCTGTGTGTCAAGGAGGCCCGTGGGCTCAGGACTACGGGAGGCAGGAGGATTAACAGAGGGAGAGACTGAACTGGACCTGGGGACCTGGTGGCAGTCTGGACCTGTCGTGGTCTGTCAGGGTTGTCCCTGACAGGGCTGAGTGCCTGGGCCTTCCTATGTTCTCCTCCGTCAGTCACTGGATGTGGGCTACCTGGGAAGGTGTGGCCTCAGGTGAGGTGTAGTTGAGGCACAACCTGGAGGAGATGAGAGTGGAGGTGTCACATGGTATTCTCAGCAGCAGGGACCATGGGTCCTTCCTTGAAGGGGATTTGGGCTGAGCCTCTCTATGTCCAACACAGGGCCCTGGGGCTTTGGGACTAGATGCAGATCATTGGGTTTTCTGTCATGGGTGGGATGCATTTTTAAGCAGAGTTTTAATTCTATTTTGAAGGGCAAGAAAACTCCAGCAATGTAGAAGACTTGAGATATTGAGGGGCCGACATCTGTCAGGTCACTGTGGTAGCCACACTTGGAGAAGGCCCCCAGTGATCCTTGGCATCTGGTGTTCAAGCCTCTCCCACACTGAAGAGCCAACCTGTGTGATTGGTGGGTTGTTGCAGAAATGACGAAGTGTGACTTCTGAGGTTAGGGAAGAATAAGACATTGTGACTTCCATGAGGTTCTTTCCTGGATCCTTCCCTCCAGGGAAACCAGTTGTCATGTTGTGAGGACACAAGCAGTCCTGTGGAGAGATCCATGGGGCAAGAAGCTGACGTCTGCCAATGACCAGCACCAAATTGCCAACCTCGAAGTCAGATCCTCCAGTTCCCATCTAGCCTTCCATGGTCACAGACCTGCCTTTCACCTTGACTGGAACTTCATGGAAGACTCCAGAGCCACAAGCTGGCACAGCCATGAAGGTGCTTCCGAGTTTTTGACGCACAGAAACGGAGAGACAATACCTGGTATCACACTGTTTGTTGTTCATGTAAGTCATCAAATGTTGGTGTGACTTGTTATTGATGAGGAGATAACTAACATATTGTGCTCTTAGTCAAAACTTTTTATTTTGAATGATTATTTCAATTCTCTGTCCCTTCCTCCCCCGCCTTACACACGCAGACTTCTACGTCCCTTTTTTCCCAGAGGCTTTGAAGCACTACTTTCAAGTGATACTTCCAAAGGTTGATGTTCACTAAAGCAATCTGAAAACTGAATTACAAATCCTTGAGCTGAATATATTT